AGAGAGAGAGAGAGAGAGAGAGAGAGAGAGAGAGAGAGAGAGAGAGAGAGAGAGAGAGAGAGAGAGAGAGCAAATGGCCCCCTTTACGTCAATTCAGGGCCCCCTGCAGGTTACTCAAATGGCTCCGACAATACACTTGGACATTGTGGAGACCGTTGCTTCAACAAGCAGGATGACCGCGTCATATATGGAAGAAGTGGGAGCAGACCACCAATATATGCTGTGGGAATTACCCCCCTACATTTTTATTTTTTTTGGGACCTTAATTATTCCGGTGTGGTGCGCAGCTCGTCCGCAAATCCGCGCACCGAGGTGCGGTGCAACTGTGGGTTGAAGCCTTGCCACAGGCCTCTAGCCTTTCTTCACAGAGTTTGTGCGAACTCTTTGGTGGGGCGGGCATGCATCACTAGGTGATTGTTGTTGGCCTCTGCGGCGCTGCTAGCATGTTTCTGGTCCTTTGTCGTACTCCACACTTTTCATTCAATGGCTGTGCTGGCATTTCGCCTGGGTGAATCCTCGTCTGTCTTTGTGAATTCACTGATCACGATTCATTCACCACTGAAGAGGCCGATTGAATGATCTGTCACTGCTGTGTGGAGAAATGGTCATCAGCACTAGAACCAAACTAATGGACGGCCATGAGCGCCAGAAACAAAACGATCCGTCTGATTCCGGCACTGCTGTGTGAAGAAATGGTCATCAGCACTAGAACCAAACCAATGGACGGCCATGAGCGCCAGAAACGAATGAACGGTTGAGAGTTTGATGTTTTGATTTGATGCCTGCCAGGGAGGAGAGTCCTGTAGCTTTCAAGTGTGAGTTTTTTTTCTTTTTTTTTTACGAAGGCCGGTCGCCGCTTGCTAGAGGGGTTGATTCGAGCAGCCCCATCTAGCAGGCATCCCTGGTGGCTCCAAGTGTGAGGTTTTTGTATGACGATGTGACCAAAATTTCCAGCTCTGGCGAGCCACACGGAGAGTCGTGCACCTTCAAACGAGAGCTGGAAGCACCCAACCATAAGACAAGGGCTGAAGAAACCAGTATGGACTCTCTTATTTAGATGGATGTACGTTGCAAAGCATATGATTCGTGCAGGGTTTCGGGCGACACGGTTGAGGTGGAAGAAATGACTGTAAATTGTACAGCAAAGGGGCCCATAACAGCCGCAATTTTTTTTATTTTTTTTATTTTTTTTTTTGTGGGGAGCGTTGGTCTGCATATCTAGCTCGTTCTCTGGAGTGACAATTGTTTAATAGGGAGTGTGGGGTGTATGTGTGTATGATGGTTTGTCTGACTCGTTGAGGTTGCCTTGTCCTCATCATAGTCTGCGGGATGAGTGAATGACAAGCAGGGTTGCACCCCTGCCGACCCCGACCGCCGACCGTATTGCAGCTGACCAGTAAGGCCGACCGGTTGGCGGTCTGCCGACCAGTCAGAAAACAACCATCCACTGATTTTTTTTTCAAATCTGAGTTGGGGGCTGTGCTGCCCTTGCCGAGTAGAGCCCAAATCCGCTGAGAAACTTTTGGGGATGTGGGGGTTGGGGTTGGAGCATACCTGCTGCGCAAGTGTGCTGGTCACCAAAAAAAAAAAAAAATAAAAAAAAATAAAAGAGCCGTCTGTTATGTTTGAGTACACGCAAGAGAGAGAAAGAACACGCAAGAGAGAGAGAGAGAGAGAGAGAGAGAGAGAGAGAGAGAGAGAGAGAGAGAGAGAGAGAGAGAGAGAGAGAGAGAGAAAAAAAGAGAGAGAGAGAGAGAGAGAGAGAGAGAGAGAGAGAGAGAGAGAGAGAGAACAAATGGCTCCTTAGCATTTATTTGAAAACCCCTGCGGGTTATCCAAGAGGCCGATGCACATGATTAGCAAGGGCCACATTACCATGAAACAAGGTAATGCTCATAGCTATGCTAGAGTCATGACACGCCAAGTATATACGCTGTTGATTCACATTAAGGTCCGTGTTTCAGCAGTTATGGGACCACTGAGCACGCGAGTTTCTGGGATGTAGCAGGCCAACTCGCCACGTCCTTTTCAGGGCTTCCCTCCACTACTCACCAAATGTGCAAAACTAGAATGAATCTTCTGCTAGAACATGGAGCTGTACGCCATCATGTGTTTTGTCTTTTGTGCAAGTGGTGATGGGTGGAGCAAGGCCCTTAGGGCCACTGCTCGTAGGAAAAGGAAACAAAAGAAAGAGAGGAATGAATTTTCTGCTAGAACATGGAACCATACGCCGCCATATGTTTTGTCTTTTGTGCAAGTAGTGACGAGCAGAGCAAGGCCCTTAGGGCCACTGCTTGTAGGAAAACGAAACAACAGAAAGAGAGAGCTACGTGTAACCCATAATTGCTGGCTACGGTACTAAGTAGTTGTAACTTGTAACCCATAACTGTTGGCTACGGTAGTAAGTAGTTGTAACTTGTAACCCATAACTGCTGGGAAAGCAGACCTGACTTTGGATCCAGAACATATAGTGCTGGGCTGCTCCTCTCTCACACAAAATTTGCTGAACGTCACTTGAGATGTTGGGACCCTTGCAGATGCACTGCTGGGGTCCTCCGGGAAAAAGACTATTCAACAAGGAATACGTGGGCCCAATTTTTTTTTTCTGTGCCGTTCGATATCTAGAAGGGAGGTGAACCATTGGCTACCCAGCCAGCCCTCTCCAAATTATTTTTTTTACCCTAGGTATTGGGGTGCGCCGCATCACGTGCGAGCGCATACTTGCGCGCGCATTATGCGCCGCCGTGCGGAGCTCGCGCACACGCGATGCGCCGCAGGTATGGGTTGCAGTATAGGGGGAGTATAGGGGTGGTAGGGGATATTGGGGGGTTTAATAAGGGTGTTGGGGGCAGTTCGGGTGTGTTGGGTTGGTGTATGAGGGTATTGGGGGCTGCTATGGGGGTGTGGGTGGAGTTACTAGGGGTTCTGAACCCCCCCCCCCCCCCCCCCCCCCCCCCCCCCAAAAAAAAAAAAAAAAAAAAAAAAGTGCAGGGTGCAGATGACCCCCGACCGGTAGGTGCCGACCAGTCAAGGGCCGCCGAGCGTCAGCGGGTCCAACACTAATGACAAGTAATTTTATTTTATTTTTTTGGCTTCTTGGGAGTGTTGGTCTCCATATCTGGCTTTTGTTCTTGTCCGGAGTGACGACTGTCGCTTCTTCGGAGTGTTGGGTGTACGTACGTGTGATGCGTTGTTTCACTGATTCAGGTTATTACCTTGTGCCCATCGTCACTCTGCAATGAATGAATGGCAGGTTGTTAAAAAGGTTGTGGATCCCAGTGCCCAAGTGGAATTCAGAGAGAACACTGCGGATGACCCGCATAAGAGGAAGCCAGACATTTCCAAGGCAAAGCAGTTGCTGGGGTGGGAACCGAAGATACCACTGATAGAAGGTCTCCCTAGAATGGTTGAAGATTTCAGGCAGAGAGTGATTGGGCACAGTACGGGTAACGATGTGGTCTAAACGACAACACCTTTTCGACTTTCTGGATATTCCACTTTTGTTTGTCCCATGTTGTTTTCCTTTCGTTCGATCGCAGAATAAAGTGGCAGTAATCACCGGCACCTCGTTCAATCCCATTCATGGCCAGCTAGTAGCTGCAGATAGGTTCTTCCTTGTTTTTTTCCCATTCCGTGCCCGATAGACCATGTGGCCTGATGCTGCGGGCCCAAGCATGTGTCGTGAGTCACCCCTTTGCATGGGAGCCCAAACATGGGAAGGAGGTGTGTGTGTGTGTGAGGAGTGTACATGCGGTGTGGAATACAATCCTGTCTGCTGGAGGCCTGATGTTGATCAGCCTGTACAGAGAAAGGATTGGGTAGTTGTCTTCCTTCATTTGTCTATCCGCTTGGTGATAATTAGGTTTTTTAGTGCGCCATTATGACTTTACCTTTGTGTTTCAGCATCAGTTACTACTGTTAGGGTCCATCGATGGCATGGCCCTATAACTCTGGACCTGAACCATCCCATCTAGCTCCTCTCTCTCTCTCTCTCTCTCTCTCTCTCTCTCTCTCTCTCTCTCTCTCTCTCTCTCTCTCTCTCTCTCTCTCTCTCTCTCTCTCTCTCTCTCTCTCTCTCTCTCTCTCTCTCTCTCTCTCTCTCTCTCTCTACCCTGGGCCTTGGAAGACGATCTCCACCTCTGCCTCCGACACACCTGCATGTGCACGCCCTGAAGCTGCTTGGCTGAGTACAATCCTCTTTCTCATTCCTCCGGCTGCTTGGCTGAAGAGAATCTACAGTGAACACTTGCCAAAAATGAGGTGGGGATAGGTCCTGCAGGGGACCAAGGACGTTTGTGCACTCTGCATTGTCCATGGAACGATCTGGATATTTGCTCACGTGAAAAAGCCTGGAGTACGAAGCAGACGAGCTTTCTGCTCCCCTCATGGATGTGTGTTCCGGCGAAAACAGCGTTTTCGATTGTCATGTGCTGTTGCCAAGCGACATTCGGTTGTATGTGACACCAGTCTGCATCAGGGTGGATGGTCACGTGCGTGAGTTTACTGGCTGGGTCTGCGTGACTATTGTATAGAACCCACTGCACGTATTTTTTGTGCAGACCCCACTGCACGTATTTTTTGTGCAAACCCCACTGCACTTATCTGCTTTGTATAGGCCCTCTTGCTTGCATTGGGCCCAAATTGAATGGTAACCCCTCATTGGGATGCCGACAAGTCCTCGTCAGCATCCCAACGAGGGGGGGGGGGTGGTATTGCGAGGGGTTGGCAAATTAACTTGGTGCTGGATATGGCAGGGGGATCGTAACATGCAATAGTGAAAGAGCGTTTAATACTCTGTTTATCGTCCACATTTGGTAAGGAGAATCTTCGACCTGGAGTACGGACGATTGAGGCCAGGCCCAGGCGTATTGTATACTTGCAGCAGCTGTCTCCTTGGGGGTGCACTGCCATGGCAGACGTTGGCGTTCAGCACTAAGGTTGTCGTCCTTCGGATAAGAGGAGGCAATCGCCAGGGAGAGTCTTATATTTTTCTTGCATCATCTTCAACGACAGCCAGAGAGGTGTTGTATAGGAGGCCCATCGCTGACTCCGGCAAGCAGCCGACTACTCCGATCTTTGTGCCTGGAATAAAAAGCTCGGGCACCTGCTGAGCAGCATGGGCCCGAGGACGGCAATTGCCATGAAGAGGTGTCTGGAGAACTCGGGAGATTTTGTTGAAGAAAGCGAGTATTCCGCTGTACTGGGCCGGTGATTTTTGCCATTTCGTTTCTGAAGCGAATAAAGAAACCCCACAGGGGGATCAAATGAAAAGGGTGGATTGGTGCTGTGAGCTGCTGCGGGAAATGAGTGCTGTCGGTAAGTTCATCAGCAAATGCCTCAGTCATAAAAGACAGATGTGTTCAGAAGAGGCGTCGTTGTATATAGAAAAGATGCGAATGATTTTACTCGTTGCTTTGCGATCTCTTTGAGACTTTGTGAAAGCTCTCTGTCCATGAACAGAGGCTATCGGCAGTCCAAGAGTACTGAGAGATCGTGTGAACCTTTTAGCCAAATGTTGTTGAAGTCTTGAAGATCATTGTTAAGGTACAGCGCGGAAGCAATTGGTTTTCCACTGTGCTTTTTTACGGGGATACCCACATAGGCATTTGTGGATGTAAATGAGCGCTTTTACAGCGGGGTTCTGTCTGAACCTGACTGCAATTAGGTCCACGGAGAAGTTGAAAAATCCCTGGCGTGAGTATGCCCTAAGTACCAGAAATTCCCACGATTGGCAGCATCAGTGAGAGCGCTGAGAGATTGTGCAAACACCTTTAGCGGAGTGTTGTTGGCCATGTGTTGTGAAGGTGTAGGACAAAGCAATCGATTGCCACAGTGCCATCACTAAAGCACTGAAATCTCTGTGGTATGGGTGGAGTCGCAGCATATCCCCTTTTATTGTTACAGGAAGAGGAAATAGAGGAGCATATAAATAGCCAGGTCCCGACAGGCGGCCGAATCTGGTCAGGCTAGATACAATGCCTGACAGCAAAGTCAAGACAGCAAAGTCAACACTGAGATAACAATAAATGATTCCCCCTGCAGGAGACAGTTAACACGGAGAGGGGCGTCGATAAATAGCCAGGTCAGACCGACAGGCGGGCGAATCTGGTCAGGCTAGATACAATGCCTGACAGCAAAGTCAACACTGAGATAACAATAAATGAGTCCCCCTGCAGGAGACGGTTAACATGGAGAGGGACGCCGAATTGGGGAAGACAGCTTTCATGAGTAGGAAGCGTTGCTAACCTCCATTCTGTGGCTTTCTGTCTGCCAAACCACATTAAGAGAGTTAAAGCTTGTCGTAGTGAACAATTGGCGAGGCAGGTTGCTTCTAAATTGCAGCTTTGAATGCTAGTTGAATGCTATATGAATGCTATGTGAGAGCTATGTGAGAGCTATATGAATGCTATGTGAAGATGAAGGGTATGTGGGTGCTATATGAATGCAATGTGAATACGAATGCTTTGTGAGTGCCATGTGAATGCTATTTGAATAGGAATGCTATGCTACGAATCCCCTTGATTGATCGATTGATTGGTGGGGGAGGGGTTGCACTTAACCCCCCCCCTCCCCCCTGCACACGCACACACACGAAGCTTTGAACCCGCTGTTCTTCATTTGATTGATCGATTGATTGATTGATTGGTTGGGGAGGGGTTGCCCCACCCTCTCCGTGCACACACACACTTTTTTTTTCTTTTTTTTGGTTGTATCCATCAGTCAATTACAATCAATCAATATGTTGGTGTCAAAAGAAAAAAAAAAAAAAAAAGAAGGAAAATGTTCATGGCTCTTTTTTTGTGTTTTTTTAATCTTTTTTGAAGTTTTTTCCCTTTTATCTTTGCATCTGTCCATCAAACAAACAATAAAAAACATGTGCCACATGTTTATCCCACCAGCAATCACAAAAACATGAAAAACAAATGCCTTTTTGTTACTTCTTCAAGTTCTTTTTATATTATAATACTTGTTTTCTTTTTTTCGTTTTTTATTTTTCTTGAAATAGAAAAGAACTTTGGAATCAAAGAAAACACATGGGGTTGTAGGGCTTTTTTTTTTTTTTGTGACAAATTCTCGGTCACCCCCTGGGCCAGTTGTGGACGACCGCGGGGGATACGTAGATGCTATGTGAGTGCTTTATGAATTCTATAGGAGTAAGAATGCTATGTGGGTGCTACACTGGAATCAGACTTGTCTCAATCTCGCTTGCAACATGCATACATGTACCTGTCGATGGAAAACCAACTTCGTGAACTCAGAATCAGCAATGAAACTGTGATGGCGACATGCGCCCAATCGATAACTCTGAGATATGGCCTCTGGCCAGGAACTCAGCTCAAGTCAAACTGTTACAACTTGCGGCTATGGCCGCCAAACACTGTCTGAAGTCCCAATTGGACACAGTCTCCACCATCAGCCTGACTCTCACACACTCACACACATACGAGGATCCACCCTGAATATCCACACACACACACACACACACACACACACACACACACACACACACACACACACACACACACACACACACTGTTGATGCCAGCATCTTGGCGGTTATGGACGCCGTCGTGTTCCTCCTCTTAGCTATGGCGGCCGTCGTTTTCCTCTGCCCACTTCAGCTTCGGGCACCTGCAGACATTCACTGCACAAGCTGCTCCAACAGCACTTCCGCATGGCTCACAGGTGATTGAATAAATAGCTGAGCGCTGCCTGTTTATTTATACTGTTTCGCTGGTGGTCCGGCCTGTCACCGGTCCCCGGCCCAAGAGTGTGCAGCCCCACCTGCTACTTGCTGACTGGACTAGGTAGGACTCGGACTGGGGACTGATGACTGGACTAGGTAGATCGATGACTGGACTGGGTAGGACTGGGAGACTGCGGACTAGACTAGGTAGACTTGCTTACGGACCCCTACAGCCTTGAAGAGAAGCAGCGGCTTCTAGAAACTCCTAGCTGGCTAAACTGACCTTTCACTAGGCCTTAGGGCTACTTCCCACTTGCTGTCTCAGCTACGGTCAACTGTCTTCTGGGAGGACCTAACTAGGCCTAACGGTAAAACACTGAACTGCTAACACGAAGGTCTATGGATCAAGACCTAACGACTGGCTAACACCCATACTAACTAACCTAAAGGGTTTTAGGGACAGGGCGTGGGTTCAAATCTCACGTAGGGTTACTGCCACTTACTGGGTCAATGTACAGGGTTACGGGGTAGGCCTAGGGATTGAGTCCTGATGTTTGCAACTGTCTGGCAACTGGGTGAAACCGTTGCACTCCCACTGTCTTAAATTTGATGTCCTAAGAGAACTCTCCAACTCGAGATAGGACCTCAACCTTTCCTTGCCCTCTTGTAGGCATGTACTATATCGGGAGCAGTTTCTAGAAGCTCGGCTTGTGTGAATCATCTGTTGCCATCAGTTGCTTGATAGGCAAACCTGAACTTTTGCTGTTTCTGGGGATGACCCCGACCTCCAGTTCTAAAGATATCTTCTTCCATTATGCGATCTATGTCGTATGCGCCATCCATGTTTGGCAGAATCTTAGACCTCCGCGAAGGAAACTGCTCACTGGTGGTGCATGGCAACAACTTTGACGCATGGAAGACGGGGTACCTGTGGAGGTGCGGTGGTATCTCTATCACGTATGATGGTCCGTCCTCTCCTTAACTTTTAGGACAGGCCACGGTCCCTTATATGCGAATAAGAGCTTCTGAGAGATGTTCTCCTCAGGCACGAATTCCTTAGATTTGAACCAGACTAGGTCGCCTACCTAAAATTGTTAAACCACCAGTACTTGGCCTAGCTATCGGCCGCGGAAGAAAAAAGAGTAAAAACGTTTCTAGTCGGATGAATTTGGGTGCTCCTGTAGTAGCTTGTACGTTTTCTAAAATTGTGGCGTGTTAACAGGCACGACTCTAGGAAGTACTGGTGGTTTAAGGCCGGCGATGCTTATTTGCTTGCTCAAGTATGTGAAGCTGGGCTTTCCTAAGACTTTTGGCAACTCTAGCAACTCTAGCAACCTCCTTCTCATGCTGCTGAGCGAACTCCCTTGTGTCGGGAGGCAATCTATGAATCTGGTTCCGGTTCAGCCTTTCAAACGGCCCATGTGGTCTATAAAGGACTTCAACTTGTTAGGAGTTTGACAAGTAGCTAGATGCATGTTATTGTAATACGCGCTAGCGACCTTGGGAAGCATCCCTTCCCAGTTTACTTGATCAGGTCTAATGTACATTTTGAGTAATTGCTGCAAGATCTTATTAATTTGCTCTGTCTGTCTGTTCGTCTTTGGATGACGACCTGATGACATCAACAAGTCATAAACTTTCATAAGATGCTGTCAGTTCTGGCTGGTAAACCGCGTATCTCGGTTGGTAATTATGGACAACAGTATACCATGCTCACTTACCCTGAAATCAAAGAACTTTTCTATAACTAGATCTGTGCGTGCCTTTGAAGGGAAAGGTACAAAAACTGCGTATTTATTAAATCGATCAAATATGGCCATGACTTGGCTTTTGCCATACCTACTCCTGACCCCCGTATCCATGAAATCTATGGGGACAGAAGTTCCAGGTCCTGAGGGAATTGGCGAGGGTCTGAGAAGGCCTAATGGTGCTCGAGCCGGTCTTAGTGCACTGACAGACTTTGCAGCTGCGTATACAATCTATACAGTCCGCATTCATGTGAGGCCATGTATGCGGCATCGTGAGGTTGACCAAAGTCTCTTGCCAACCAAAGTACCCTTACGTATCATGGCATTCCCCTAAGATTAAGCTACAGATCTACTCGTTATTGGGGACACACAAGTCTATAACGACATTGGTCTTCTCAAGCAGTAGCCCGTTCGTGGTTCGATAATGTGACTCACTATCAGGGGTTTCTTTTACTAGTCTAGCCCATTGTAAATCAGATCATGAGCATATGCATCTCTTATATTTTGTTGCAGGTCCGTCCCTATGTCTAGATAGCGTACTAGTGCGCCAAAGTAATTTGCTCTTCTACTCAGAGCATCTGCTACCACGTTGCACTTACCTTTAATGGGATTTATCTCAAATTCAAGTTGATCTATCTCAGCAGCCCATCTAGTGAACTTGGGCGTCGTCTTGGCTTGTGTCTTCAGCCACATTAAAGTCTTGTGGTTTGAATATACTTTGAAGTGCCTCCCAAGCAGGTAAGTCCTCCAGTGATTTAGGGTCTGCCTGAGAGCGTAGAGTCCCCTCTCATATCCCGAGGTTGCCACATTTTCGGAGGGCAGCGTGATTGACATGAAGTCTACGGGCCTGTAGCCATTGCCGTCATCTTGCTGTAGAACGACACCTATGCCATACTGACTAGCATCTGTAGTGACGAGGAATGGTAGCGATGGGTCAACGACTTTGAGAACAAAGTATCATATCAAGACCTTTTTCAATTTCTTCAAGGCTGAGGTGCAGTCTTGGTCCCACTTCCAGATCGCTTTTTTCTTTAGCAATCTGCGAAGGGGAGCAACGATGGTGGAAAAGTTACTGACAAACTTTTTATAATAGTTGGTCAATCCCGAGAATGCTCGCAACTCTGTCAAGGTGCGATGAGTTTACTAGTCTCGAATAAATGTTATCTTATTGCCTTCAGGTCGGATACAATCTTCGTCTAGCACATGACCCTGGTAAAGGACTTTTGTCTTGGCCCATTCACACTCCTTTGCGTTGATCTTGAAGTTAGTTTCTTGTAGCTTCTCCAAGATCTGCCTCAGATGACCCTCATGTTGCTTGAGGGTCTTATTGAATACTAGGATATCATCTAAGGTAGACTACGATGAATCGATCTAGCCACGACCTGAACAAGTTGTTCATACAATGTTGAAACGTGGCTAGTGCATTGGTAAGTCCGAAGGGCATCACTATGAACTCATAATGCCCCGTATCTCGTCCAGAACGCCGTCTCGTGTTGATCATTATGGTGCACTTTTATCTGATGGTACCCCGACTTTACGTCTATCTTTGAGAAGTGCTTGCAACCCTGTACCCGATTTAGGAAATCATCTATACGGGCAATGGTTGTGCATTCTTTACAACTTTGATGTTCAAACTTCTGTAGTCTATATACATCCGTAACTTTCTCCCTTTCTTCGGGACAAGCAAAACAGGTGCGCCGAAAGGAGATGAACTGGTCTTGATTCATCTCTTCTCGAGGA